AAGAGCAAAATGCAACAAGCTTCTCAATGAGTGTGTAGCGCCTGTAAACTCATTTCACCTGTACACTGTAAAAAATATATTTTCGACATTGTAAATAAAAGATTACTAGACCATGTTTTAAAAGAAATTACTATTTCAATCTTTATACTTCAAATTCACATTTCTTTTAATGTTTCTTGCTGTAATTTTTTGTGAAATTTACTAGCAATTTCTGAGTGAATTGTTTTCAGCTTATTAAATCATGTTACTAAATAAAACATTTTCCTACTTTTAGACATGATGGTGGTAAAAAGGATATATTTGGAGGCATTTCAAAGCAACAAACATGCATTTATGAGTGCAAATCCCAAACAGTTTCCTCCATAAACAAACAATTTTAATCCTCAGCTGTCTAGACTGCATTAAATAACCCTAAGTGAAATCACAAGGGGTGACGCGCCCAAAAATAGTCTGTCCTGTAATGGGCGAGCTCATTGTAAACTAAAATAGGGTCCTCAATCTCCCCAATATCGTGTGCTGCTCTCTCCAATAGAACAAATTCATATTTTAAGTGTCAGATTGACATTAATTTGTATAAACATCTAGAATGTGACATAAACATCTTAATTTAAGTGGATAGTTTACAAAAATATTTAAATACTATCATCATTTACACGCCCTCATGTCATTCCAAACCTGTATGAACACAAATAAAGAATGTTTATTGTCTATACAATTGAAGTCAATGGGGTCCAATGTTGTTTAGGACCTCACTGACTTTCATTGTATGGACAAAAAGTGATTCTTCAAAGAACCTTTTGTGTTCCACAGAAGAAAGCAAGTCATACAGGTTTGGATGAGATGAAGGTGAGTAAATGAGAACAGAATTTGGAAAACTATCCCTATAAGCTCAGTACGTTGCATGATTAAAGGTCTTTAAATGTGGATATCTACATAAAATAAACTTGCATCAGAAAATATCCATCTCAACATTATCATCCAGCCTTGAACCGCTAGCCTTGACATCACAGTTCTCTCCAGAACCCAAATGCAGAGCAATACCAAATGAAGAATGCGCCCTTACAGATACATATTTAATAAAGACCTAATTTATTATTGATTTTTATGCCATTTCAGACAGCTCAAGTCCTGCATCCATCAAAGAATGTTACAACTCATATCTCCAGGGGTCCGGCTCAGGATTAGTAGAGATGTGCGAGCTTCGGATAGAGTACATCCTCTAACACATAGACAATATGAGATCACCACAGTCCAATATCAATGGGACGACCTGCTTTTAAGGTAGGTGTGACACTCGCTGTGAGACTTGATATAGACATGTCAATTCTTCTGAAATTCCCTGGTAATATAACCCCTGATAATAAAGCTCATCATTCTGACTTATTAATATCCCCTTGTATCATCCATTGGACATGCTATTTCAGCTCTTGAGTGAAAACAATATTTTTATACCTCTTTTGACAAATGTTATCACATTTAGTGGTTATATATGTTTTGAAATTATTAATTACAAACAACAGAAAAAGTCAGATTTTTTTATAATGAATATATTTTTAGCATGGAATTTAAGTGCAATTTGTGAGTGCATTAATTTATAAAATGTAATTTGAAATTATAAAGAGCAATTGCAAGACAAACAAAAATTTTAAACATGCACAAATCTAGACGAAAAATGTAAGAAATGTTTCACTTGTTGAATTTTTAGAAATCATTTTATTGAGATTACACTCTCAAAAAAACAATTTCTAGCTAATTAAATATTTTTATAAATTAATACAAATATTTAATTAGATAAATACATATTTTAATATATATAAAATAGTTTATAAATTAACAGAAAAAAAAGTATTAATTCTAAACATTTCCATGACTTCTCAGGGCCTGGAAACCACAGTTCCCTGATATTTCCATATTTTCCATGACCCTGTAAAAATCATAAGATAGTGAATGAAAGATCTACACATACTTTCTACAAATACACTGTGACTGTATAAACAAACCACCAACAGAGTCTGCAAATACTAAAGACACACAACACAGATGGCATCTGTCCTTTCCTTCACCCAAAAGAGATTTGATGCCCGGCATTAGAGGATGTACTTCCTTCCTTGTCCAACAACCAATATTGTTATAAGGCTCTCCCTCTCCATTGGCTCTTCTGGAAATGAGATCGATACTCCGTGGAGAGACAGTGACCTTTTTCCTGGCTGGCTGATGGATTTGAAGGTTAAAAAAGGCATACAATATTTTAGCCAGTCACCATCCCTCTAGAGAGCGGAGCGGGGAAGGGAGAGAAGGGAAGGTTGGGCTATTGGATGAGAGTTTTTTTTTTTCTTCAATTTTAGACGTTATAGCAATTTTCCTGATGTCACTTTTAATTTAGGAGACGAGCAGAGAACACAGCAGTGTTTCGCTTGACTGTTTATGTGTGTGTGCGGGCGTAGTGCTCCAATGAGAACTTTTATTAGATTCACGATGCAGGATAATTAAATAGGCTGGCTTTGGTGGTGTTGTGAAGGGAAAGGATGGTTTGAAACAGCATAGCCACTTAAGGCAATCCCACTGATCAATATAATAGAAGTAAAGCTGTGGGTTATTACAGAAAAGCCAGTGATGCATGGAGAAATTCATTCTTTTGTCTTTGATGTTGAAAAATAGAGATTGCAGAGAAATTGTTCCACTTTTCAAGCGAAACAGGAGGAACTGTTAATGGTGTTCCAGTCAAAATGTTCATAAAAACTATGTGAATGTGCTTCAGGAGTCATTTCATAGTGCAGCCTTAATCCTCCAAGTAAAGAATATGAATTTCTTTACTCCTCAATGATTTGAGAATTATTGTAATTTCCATATGCAGTACTATAGATTTTCAGGTGAATAAATTACATTAGGATTGATGTGTTTGGGAACGCAGCAAGTGCAATGTTTGCTCACATATACAGTGTCTCTTCAGTGACTAGTAGTCACGAAAATGCAAATACCCAACTGCAGTGATTTACTGTGTCTACCTATAGACAACATCAGGGACTCTATCTTCCTGTGCATTAATGGTCCATTTCCTGTGTGGATGGGAACAAACAGGATGTGGGAAACAAGCGGAGGAAAAGATCAGAGGAAACCTGTACAGACCAGAGGAAGCCGGTGCAGGCTGGCTCTTTATCATCTGAGTTTAGAGTTAAACACTGTCTGAAACAATGAGGCGTCCATAACAATGAGCTATCTAGATGATCAGATTGATTGTGCTGCTGGGCGGGTGGATTAAATTAGGTGTCAGTCGCGCTCCTGCCCTGACCATTTGGTTGCAGGCTCAGCGGTTGACATTCCTGACCCGAAATCAGCAGCTGTTGCTTAATATGACTTCAGTTCTTGCCCTCTATCTCTCAATCTGTGTGTACTGCAATAAGATACAAGCCACGACAGCCGCACGTGTGGTGACAATTGGAAAAGAACGCAATGGCAGTGCAAGATTATATGACCTAATTCACAATCGGAAAAAAAAATCGCAATTTTGACTAGTGAAGAATAAAAAAAATTTAGTGCAAAATAAAATTATATATTCTTCTTTCTTTCTAAATATATATTATTAAATAATAATATATATTTAAATAATTAGTAATAGTGATGATAGTTTTATTGCACTTTATTTAGTAAGTTTATTGGAAAAAAACAAACTACTACTATATTTTAAAATTTACATTTTTATTAAATAAAACTTTTCAACATTTTCAAAGCTAAAATCAGCAAGCTTTTATTTTTTTAATTATATATATATATATATATATATATATCATTTAAAAAATATTTATTTTAATATATATTTAAAAAATAGAATAAAAGAAACATATACATATATAAAATTATATCATTAAATATCATATATATGTATATTTATTTTATTGTAATTTTACAGTAATATATAGAAATATATTCAGTTATATATTTTATTATAGAACACAATATTTCATTATAGAATATATATATATATATTTAATTATACATTAAACATAAATGTTAAACAAACAATATGTTTGTGCAAAGTTTCCTATCTATCAGACAATCTTGATCAAAGGTTTAATCAATAGAATATGCCTAAGTATGTTTCAAGGAAGTTAGTAATGACTCAGCTGTACAACCTCATGAACATTTTTAATGTATCTCCACATTCTAATCTCTCTGCATCCCTGTATAAAATATAGCTCGTCATATTGCACAATGCAGGAGAATGCAGAGAGGGCTTGCAGTGATGCTCTCCCAGCAGAGACAATAATGTGCACTAAAGTGAGATGTGTTGCTGATAAGCCTTATAATTACATGCATAAATAATTAGGTCGGCAACTCTGCAGGGGTAAGCGTCTTGGCCTTATGTTCTAGGAATTCAGGTTATGGCCCTGTCTTCACAGAGACTGCTCAATAAGCACAAAGAGGACACTTCCTTAATGGACAGGCTTAACTAAAAATTAAGAACAGAAAATGGTGGCATGTTGTAAATTATTCAAGAATACTGCCAACTCTTTCTCTTTGCCCTAAGGGTGATTTAATTAAGTAAATGATAAATAAAGGAGAAGAATCATTGAAGTGGATGACAACAATGCAGGACCCCAGCAGATCAATGCACCATAATAATGGAGTGACCGGTGGTGATGATTTCCTAAACAGATAGTCGGTACACAATCAATGACATGTCTAATTGAAACACACTCAGAACCTTTGAGAGTTTGTTTGCTCATAACGCAAAGGCCAAACCAATTGGGACCTGTTTGACGGAGTTAACACTGTCTATTAGAAAGAATGATCTAATCAAAATGTCCCTCTTCACTTCATTTCATTCTGTGACTATATTCATGGGTCCGTGGGCTTGTGCTTTTTATTATAACTTATTAAGTATCAGATCAAAAAAGAAGTGTAAAAAAATCTGATTTTAATTGAAGAATAAATAAAAAGGAAGTTAATTATCCCATGCAAGGACCAAGAGGAAACAGGAGTTAAAGGAAGTGAGGCATCACCTGTTTGACACGGTCAGGGTTGACGGTGGTCTGTGGCTGAAGTATGCTAACTGGCTCTGTTTTCTGAGCGCTCTGCGGCATCTCCCGCACCTTCTCCGCGATGAAGTCATGGACACTGTTCAGCGCCTCTACAGTGCCCTGGACCAAGCAGACGCGCTCGGTTGTTCCTAAAGGAGGCACACAAAGAGAATTACAGTTTAAGCTCAGTGTGATTTACAGATGTTGTCTAAAGTGTGCTATGAAGTGATTAATGAAATGGCATTTTTCTCAATGCAGTGATGAGGTGAGGGCCAAAGGAGCATGTTTTCTGTGTAATAAACTAAAAACAAGTTTCCAAAACCCGCTGCATTGTTCCAACATGCTTCAGTATTTTCCATGTCAACTTAATTCTTACCTTTAAAAAGATAATTTTTTAAATCCCATGACCAGCTGAAAAATACTTATTCTCGAACGCTTTCTCTTTTAGATTAAATTAATAATGTTGGTGTAAGTTCAAGACAACTGCCATATCATCAAATAAAATATAGTCAAATAAAGTCACCATAAAATAATTACATGAAATATACACATATTTAGTGAACAAAACAATATATACAAATATTTTAAAGAATTATTGTCAGATGACCAATAAATTATACACTACTGTTCACAAAGTTTGGGTAATTTGTTAAGATGTTTTATTGTTCAATAAATTGATTAAAAATGACAGTAAAGACATTTATAATGTTACAAAAAATCTATTTCAAATAAATGCTGTTCATTTGAACTTTTCTATTCATGAAAGAAAAAGTATCACCGTTTCCACAAAAAATATTAAGCAGCACAACTATTATCAACATTGATAATAATAAATGTTTCTTGAGCCAAAAATCAGCATATTAGAATGATTTCTGAAGGATCATGTGACTATAAGTTCAAGACAACTGCCATATCATCAAATAAAATATAGTCAAATAAAGTCACCATAAAATAATTACATGAAATATACACATATTTAGTGAACAAAACAATATATACAAATATTTTAAAGAATTATTGTCAGATGACTAATAAATTATACACTACTGTTCACAAAGTTTGGGTAATTTGTTAAGATGTTTTATTGTTCAATAAATTGATTAAAAATGACAGTAAAGACATTTATAATGTTACAAAAAATCTATTTCAAATAAATGCTGTTCATTTGAACTTTTCTATTCATGAAAGAAAAAGTATCACCGTTTCCACAAAAAATATTAAGCAGCACAACTATTATCAACATTGATAATAATGAATGTTTCTTGAGCCAAAAATCAGCATATTAGAATGATTTCTGAAGGATCATGTGACTAGTGTAATGGCTGCTGAAAATTCAGCTTTGCCTTCACAGGAATAAATTACATTTTAAAATTAATTCAAAAAGAAAAAATGTTCAATTATAATAATATTTCACAGTATTACTGTTTTTACTTTACATTTGATCAAAGAAATGCAGCCTTGGTGAGCAAAAAAATCAAGTTTTGAAAGGTTGTGTGTGTGTAATATAAATAAATATAAATATATATATATATATAAATTATACTGCTCCCTATATAGCTCCCTATAGTTATCTATCTATGCATGTATTTCCCATGAACCTCTCATAAACATTTCTGCAGAAACACAATGTTGTTTTACTACTGCTGGTGTAAGACAGGTTGTATGGCATATTCTTGTGATGGTGTTTGGAGCTAAAACGTTGATGGAATGCTTTTTTCCTTACATAGAAGCAGCATAAAATATCATCAGCTAAGAACACCAGGAATCACTGATAACAGGAGACTTACTTTCTGTTTTTACTCAACTAAATCATATAATACTGTAGCGCATTGTTTGTATGACACATACAGTGATAAGTATCAGTCATGTTATCAGAGAATGAATCCGTCAGTCACTGGGCTATCAATCATATTACACTAAAGACTACAGACATTGTGTTAGGAGACAAATAACCAGCATTAGAGCATCTGCACATGTAGATACCATGGATCTATGTACATGCAGACTGAAGTTATGGAAGCAGCTGCAATAACAGTTGCCCGGCAATGCTACTATTTTTGGCAGCCTATTCACAGAAAGCCTTCCATTAGATGCTCCAAAGTCTCCACTTTCAATTAATTCTGATACAATATCAGCATTTCAACTCCAATTCCACAGTCTCTTCTACAGAACATGAGGTTAAATGCGTGCACACACACATACATTCACCATTGTTTTACTGTGTTTCGGTGCTGACTCTAAAGGAATTAACCGACTGCGGTTCTCTGATTGGTTACTAATCCTTCTACACTATAACATTTTGCATGAAAGCGTGCTTCTGGGACATTTATCCTACAAAACCCACCCTAAATCACACTGCACCATAAGAGAGGCAGACAAGCGTGGCCATTCAGATTCAGAAAAAAATAATCCACAAAAGCTTTAAGTAGAAGGGAAGAGGGAAAAAACTCAACTAGACTGATCCGAAGCCAGGATCTCTTGGCTCCCAAGAGGCTGGGAAGCGAATCGGCCCTTATCAGCACGGTGCAGTAGGGTTTTCCAGTTTCCTTTTAACCTTCTATTGTTTACTAGCATGAAAATAATTGGGTTCGGTCCCAGACTAGCTATATGAAGCCGTGTTAATACTTTCAAATTGAGGAATCTCAGGATCATGGATGGGATCTTACAAAAAAGAAAAGGAAAAAAAGCTTTGCTGAGCTCCCGACAGCTGGCGGCCCAAGAGTAATCTGTGACCGACCAATCGGGGCGGTAGATTATTAGAGCAGAGATCACCATTGTTTTGGCAGGGAGATGAAGGGGGTAGGGTGTGGACAACACCAGTCAAACAACTGCCAGAGATGGAGGACTAGTTTTGAAACATTACTGACTTTTATGTATAAACATACACACAATGACCATTAAATGAACTCTGGTAACATGTTAAATACCAAATAGCTGAATGAAGAGGTCCTGGAGATGTTGTGATGTGTCTGTTGTGAGATACTCAGTGGGATATGGGAAGAGGTGGGAGGAGTTAAGAAAGAGGTCACTGAGGATCTTCTTCCCTCCTGCAAACAGAAGAGTCACTTTCTGACACAAGTTTAGGTTTCTGTCCATGGAGCTCATTGAAAGTGATGGGCAGTTTGCTTTACCACCAATCTAAGCACATAAACACCCCCCTCAGCAGCTCATTGCCTCATCAACGTCCACACCAAGAAATATTACACATACTAGGGCTGGGCAATATTTTATATATACACGATATATTCTATATTATGTGGTTGACAATATAAAAGTAACCCAACTTTACACAGTAAATGAGAGAGAATGGATCAAACAAAAATGTAAAAAAAAAAAATAAAAAAAACATTAAATTGATCCAAAGTGACAATAAACACTTTAACATTGATACAAAAGAATAATAATAAATAAATTTAAATTTCCACAAAATCAATAATGATTATCATGAAAAGGATAAAAAAAACATTCAGAAATAACATTTTTCCGCACAGCCCTAGTACACAGTGGCAGTTGCAGGTGACAGTTAAAAATTTAGATTCTGATACAGGCCCTGTGAGTCACTGTGCTGCTTCTGAAATGAAGGGTTTGGTGTCCGTCCATATATACACAGAGGTCAGAGACCATCTAATAGACCTATTAATAAGTTTGGATTTGTGCTAGTAGCATTCAAGGAAACACATACAGCTTCCAGTACAGCCCAAGAGTTAAAACTAATAAAAGGTATTGGGCAGAGGGGAGGTGTTTTATATAGTTGCCTAGGGAATGCCTACTTGGCTCTGTTCACTCTTGTGCTAAATTGTTTTTATACAGTTGTTAAGTAGATGAGTCATTCATTCCTTGTTCTTGTTTGTAGATGGAGCACCTCTTTGGTGATTTAGCTACTGAAAACATTGACAAACATGACCACATGAGCATGTAACAAAACATTAACATGTAATATATGGAATGAAATGTTAGATTATTAAAAAAGAGCCAGTTAAACCTGGTAAATAGTGCAGCAAAGTGAGGTAATGCCTAGATCCTGCTAATTATTTAGCGAGAGGACAGAAACATGGTGGCTATAGCATGGATGGATATTTTGGTCATTTTGTTTACTCGAGTACTAGAGAGATAAATCAAATCGTCCTGCAGTAACGTGTCTCAAGACCACAGTGATCAGTTCCAGCTCAGTCTAGCTGTTTGAAAAGGAGAATACGTCCTGTGTGAATGCCCTCTACTCTCTCCTCAGAGCGCTGCTGCTGCCACAGACTCAGTCAGCGTTGGCGCAAATTGCTGTCAGAGCGGTAGGTACTGACGCCATTACCAAACCCGAAATAAAAAAATATGGTTATTTTTTACATTTGCGTATAGTTTCATCTTTTCCGAGTACTCTGGCCCATCTCTTCTTGCTACAAACAAAATCAGCATGTACGGAGGAACCAACTTCTATTAATATCTGGTACAAAATCAGGTATGGTAGGATAGGAATAGTGCACTGTCATGTAGATCACAAACGCTGATCACAAGTCCCACAACACTAAAGCAGAAAGATAGATTGACTGCTGCGTACCACATGACAAATGACACCAGCTGCTAGGACAAATGGAGAATCTTTCAGAAGACACACTGTACAGGACTGTCCAGGAAACGTCTCTATACCGTATCACAATACGAGAAAATTTTGACAAGCTTCCTGATTGCCTCCCTCCAAAGAGTCCAACAGCGGCCCTGGAGATTTCGTGAACATACGACCCTGCCGGTGGATGAGGCTACAGATGTTTCCTGGATTTTATGTTAGGAGGAGTTAAAAAAGTAATCTCCCTTCCTCAGTGACTCGTATTTTCCTGTCTGCTCATCAAAGGGTGGCTGATTGCAGCCTCCATGTACCCGAATCCCACAGGAGCACATGGGTCATTGTTTCAACATGGAGCACCCACTACGAGATGAAGTGTTGACTGTGGCGATGTGCAAATGAAAACAGGGGACACGTGGGTCCTGTTGGTGTCAGTGTGCACCGTTATGTTCATAACTACATGAATGTTTGGGAGGGGGCCAGTCCAGGCATATGACATAAGACACATCACCACAGCAACTGGCAGACCCTGAAAATATTGTGGGGCAGCTGCTGATGACGTAATGTGTTTTTATTTTAAAACAGAAAGGACGGGGT